CCTTGTCGTTTCGAGATCACGGGTTGTGATCTCGATCTGAGTGTTGTACGAATATTGCGCGACAAAGGCCTCAGCCATTTCATCCCAATTCTTCTTTACTTCATCCTCTAACTTTGCGTACCAGTGGGCGGCCACACTCGACAGGGTTCGGCCGAATAGTGAAAGCTTATGTGGTCGCGTTAGGCCCATTGGCCGCAAGATGTCTGAGAACAGTCGGAGATAAACCATGGGGTCCCCGGACCCGTCAAAGCGGTCAATTTAAGGCATTTTGAACCTATCGGGCAATGTTACGGCCACGTCGGTATATCCATCCTCGATATCCGGGACAGCCTTGACCCCCTGGGATTTCTTGAAGAGCTTCTCAAGCTTGCTCAATTTCAGAGCTGTATGATCAACCTCGAACTCGAAGGGAGAGTCCGGGTGATTGGGTATATGGACCTTGGACAGTTGTGGCGGAAGTGGGGGCGGAGCTGGCCCCGTTGGAAGATTCGTGTCCTCTTGTAAGTTTTGGAGATTTGGCACGGCGTTCTGGGTGTTTGGCGGAACGTTCTGAACAGTAGGTGTTTGCTCAGGTAATGGAGCCCCTGCCGGAGGAGGAATTTGGTGTGAAGCAGATGCCGCATTCTGCTGTTGCAGTCTGGTGATTAGTTCGGCCTGTTAGGCCATGATCGCGGCCTGCTGTTTGGAGAACTCCGCATGACGGGCGGCATCATCATGCATCTGTCTCATGCTCTCCTGCATCTGGTGCATTAGAGCCTCCATCCCTGATGTATTTTGCTGATCCATCTGTCTAACTGGTATGTTTATTTCTACAGCAGTAATTGAGACCTCAGTCCTATAGTCCTCTGATGAAGTAACCCACTGCCCTGACAACCTCTATTCTGACACACTGCGCTTTTTCGGCTTTCTTTTGGTAACCCGGCCACCAACTTTTAGGATCCTCCCAAGTGTGTACATCACAAATATGTGGTTCAAAGTTCAAGCAAGTGGCCCAAGGGTGTTCAACATTGGCTCGGAAGGAGGGGTTCAAAAGGGTCAAATGAAATTAGTGGCCGGCCACCAACTTTTAGGATCCTCCCAAGTGTGTACATCACAAATATGTGGTTCAAAGTTCAAGCAAGTGGCCCAAGGGTGTTCAACATTGGCTCGGAAGGAGGGGTTCAAAAGGGTCAAATGAAATTAGTGGCCGGCCACCAACTTTTAGGATCCTCCCAAGTGTGTACATCACAAATATGTGGTTCAAAGTTCAAGCAAGTGGCCCAAGGGTGTTCAACATTGGCTCGGAAGGAGGGGTTCAAAAGGGTCAAATGAAATTAGTGGCCGGCCACCAACTTTTAGGATCCTCCCAAGTGTGTACATCACAAATATGTGGTTCAAAGTTCAAAAAAGAGGGCCCAGGTTGTTCAACATTAGCTCGGAAGTGAGAAAAACGGGCGTCGGAGGGCGCCGGAGGAGCAAAAACTGGTTGTTGAAACAATTGCTGGCCTCCCACCCTTCTACGGCCTTCCCGGTGATAAAACAGAGGTACCTGCCAAAAATGAACAAAAACCGATGCAAGACGAATGCTCGGGGGCCAAAACGCGCAGTTCGAGGCCCTGAAAACCGCCTATTAAGCACCGAAAGTGGTATTCGGGCACGAAGTGGGTTTCTCAGACCCCAGTGTCTCTCAAAAGGGAGTAGAAAGGAAGTATGCCAAAAATCAGAACAAACGGAGATGGTTAGGTGGTCCCGAGTCGAGGCACACGGCCAACGGTCCCGAAAAATCGGAAACCGGACTCCGAAATGGGCAAAATAGCCTGCGGCCACAAAATGTAGCCCACGGCCACTGAGAGATGGTCTGCGGGACCTCTCCCTTCCCTCAGGAAAAGAAACAGCGAAAATCGAGCCTGGTTCGCAAATCGAGGCAAAGCACAAAAGAGGGTTTGGAAGTCCGGAGGCAGGGCTCACGGCCGCGACTCTAAAACTTCTGAACGAGCACATTATGTAATATCACCAAGCGCTCAATCGGTGACGTCTGAGTCTTAAGGTCGGTCAAAAATGGGGTGTCTACAGCCACCCCTGGCGGTTGGCACGTCTAACGGTCGACTCCTCCCGCTCGGCCACCCTTGCGGTCGGCACGCCTAACGGTCGACTCCTCCCGCTCGGTCGGCTCGCCTAACGGTCGACCCCTCCCGCTCGGCCACCCTTGCGGTCGGCAGGCCTAACGGTCGACCCCTCCCGCTCGGCCACCCTTGCGGTCGGCACGCCTCGCGGTCGGCCTCTCCACTCGGTCCGCACTTCTCTTCCTTATTACTATTCTCTTCGTTGGACTAAAGCTGCACTCGGAAATGGGGGACTACTGACATGGATAGACCCATAAGGCTTACAGCCCACAGCAAACAACCCCAAACCCATCGCTTGAGACCCATAGCATAACCCGGTTGGCAAAGCCCAGGACAGCTGGAGGCCATCTGGGCATGGAGGGCCAATGACATTCGGGCACATGGCAGGTGAAACATAGGCCACATCAGCAGATAAAGATCTGTAGAGTTATTGCCACAACACATCACCATTAATGCAGCCCATCACAACATTTATTACGACAATTCCTCCTCGTCGGAATAGAGCCCCCTCACCCTGAACAAGGTAAGCTACGGCACAGGCTTTCGGCGGAATGGGGCACGTCACAAGGGACAGTGAAATGATTACCAAAGGATATAAGCAAGAATTGAAGACAAGAGGAAGGTTAAGCTTTTCTATCTCTCTCTCTCTCTCTATATATATATTTCCTTCTTCCACTACTGATTCGCTCGCCGGAGGGTTCACTGGGGGACTACCCCGTTCCCCTTTGGACTTGCTTGCAGGTCATCTGGTAGGATCACTCGTCTGAATCGGAACTTAAAGAGCTTGGACCAGCCCGACCCATCCACCCAAGACGAACTGCATCATTAAGTTTCTATTCACCAATTTACATTTATATCCCTTGATAATTTAAAGAACTTAAATTCAATTAAATATTTATATATATATATATATATATATGTTAATGATTATTTTGACAAAGGAATTCATGTGCACACAACTTATTCACTATGTTTTTAATTATTCTGCATAATTAAATAGCTTAATTTTAATTTAAGGTATTTAAAGGTGCTTAATATTAATTATCTTTAATGACATTATTTGGGTTGTTACAATAATCTAGATGTTCTTCACCCTGGCATCTTGTTCGTACCATATTTTCAACACAAAAATGGTCCCATTGGGCATACCAAAAAATATATGTTAGCTATTTTGACATTTCAAAGGTTAAAAATGTAATTGGAGCGTGCCAGCATGGATTTCAAAAGTCCTTATAGATAATAATTGTCAAATTTATCAGACAATTGTGCTAAAGTTCTTTTAGCCTTAATGAAGAGGACTTTATTGTGTTGTGTTAAAAAGATGAATCAATGTTTTAACTTGAATTCACAACAGAATGTGAGGAAGCGACTAGGCAAGAATTGTAGTTGATTAACTAAATAAACAATTACAAAGTGTTACCTTTAGTAAGGCAACTTCGAAATTTTAAACTGACCGAGTTCTTGAATTATAAAGTTAAGTTACTCCAATAAAATGTAAGTGCAGTGCATGTAAGTAAAGTGTATTAATTTAAATATAAATGAAATTGACAAAGACATAAAATTTGGATTTGGTCGGAGGCATTCTTAGTCCAACAATGATTCATCCCACTAAAAATATCACCACTAATAGCACTAATGCATTAAAAAAAAAAAAAAAATTACAACTCCAAGACCAAAACATCACATCATTCATGACGGGACCCACTGCCACCTAATTAGTGGGAGCACTAATTAGTGCTCCCAAGCATTTTTCTTCTTAGTCTTTACTTCTAACCATTTATAGTTTTCTTTTGGCTCCTTCAAGGCAATTGGGCTAATTCTTCTTACTATGATCTTCTTCTCATTAGCTACTTCACTGGGCCACTCCTTGATTTGAATGTGCATACTTGCTTGTAACTGCTTCTTAAATAACTTCTTCCTCATGTGATTTCCATGTGTGATTTATGAGCTCCACCAATTGAAATCTTGCGCTCGTGACTCACGTTAGTAGCTTCAATGGTAGAACTCTTTAATAATTTGTTGTGTTTTGTATAATATCTTTTATTTGTCACGTGTCACCTTTAAATTAAATGATTTAAATGTAGTGCCAACAAGTTCAAATAATGCAACAACATGTTTCATATTTCTAGTTAGCAACAAATCAATTTCGTAGATGTTTCGGTTGGAATTTTGTAAAATTGCAATGCCTAAACAGCGAGTAAATTATAAGAAAATCCATCACCTTACTTTAAAAAACATTTTAAACCTGTCCCAAACAAGATAGAATTTCCAAACATAGGCATAACTAGGGGTGTGCATAATATTGCCGAAACCGATAAAATCACACCGAACCGCATCGCTAAGGCAAATTCGTTATTATTTGTTAATCGAGCCGCCTATTTTTTGTAAGAAAAATGACAAATTTTAGTGACGCTTTTATCAATCCGTCGGTTTCTATTTTTCTTCCAAACCGCACCGACCCGCACCGCTATTAAATCATATTTTATAAGATTCTAAAAATTCTTTTTAACTTAAGTTTGCTTGTTGTTCTATACCTTAGAATATAGTATTACATTACTGCTCGAGAAGAATTCAAGATGTCAGTAATACAAAATAAAGTTGGATTCCAATTCACTTTTCAAGATGCTTAACATCACGGTATCTCTCGTTTTTTTTTTACTCTTTGATTTAAGTTTTGTAATTTGAATTATATTTTTTATAAACCGTCAATCCGCCCGAACTATCAAGGCAAATCCGTCATTATTTGCCAATCAAATCGTTAATTTTTGATAAAAAAAATAATAAATTTTAGTGTCACTTTTATCAATCCACTATCTGCCATACAATTTCTATTTTTCTGTCAAATCACACGGATCCGCGCTGCGCATATGCCTAGTATAACCCTTCCTTTCCAATTCTCTTTGCCTCTGATTCTGATTCATTAGCCCTAATTCAGTTTTCTTAGTCTGGCATCTCTGAAACCACAGAGAGAGAAAGAGAGAGAGAGAGAGTAGGGTTTAATCCCTTCTTCTTCTTCTCTGTTTTCCGACCGAAGTGAAGACTCCGTTTCAATGCCATCCTAACTTCAGCCTCGATTCCCTCTCGGCAAACCCTAAATCGAGAAACCGAGCTTCGAAACTCGTCAATGGCCGCCTCAAGGCTAATATAATGAGTGATTGTTGTACATCACTTTTGCATTGTGGAAATTTTGTCCGTGGAGCTTGTTTATCAGTGAAAAAAACTAGGAACCAAGATATAGACCTTACCTTCATCAGCCACTACCTCTACATGATTTTCATTGTCAATTACTTGAAATGATATGTTTCCCAGCCACAACACTGCAGCAAGCATTTCAAAAGCATTGTCTTGGTCTTCTTTGCAAAGCTGAACAGTATCTAAGGCTTCCTGTCAAAGTAGAAAAAAATAAATAAAATTAATTGAAACTTATGTGTTTTGTTTCTTAATTGTTTTATATTTGTTGAATATTTTCCGACATAGCAATAGGTTGCCCCCCTTGAGGTAGATTTCTGCTTGGTGGGCTATGGAAACAATAGAATTTTTTTAAAAAAAATATAGAATGGGCCTTGCGGAATTAAGTTTTGCAAGTTTGACTTAGTTTTTTATTAATCATATTACAATGTGCTTTAGCAAGACATGGCTGGTGTCTTCATGGGAGAATATGCAAGCACATGATTTCATGAAATGTTGGAAACTAGTTCTTTTTTTAAAATTTTTTAATTTTTATATTTGTGTTGAAAAGTTCTTATATAATATATACAGAGGAAATAGCTAGTTTGATTTTTAAAGTAGTAAATTTTCCATTGCTTAACATTGAAAATTAGTTTAGTTTTCTTAATTACATTTTTATATGAGTGGTAGTATGATTTCTTTTTCTGTCCAGGTAATCTTAAGGGGAAAGTCAGCATCTTTGTTGAGATAAAGGTGCTTTTCCTCAATCTACATCTTGGTTTTTCTGCTCTTTGGTTTTTGTGATAACCATCCAATATGCTACTTGTTTTCTTTTGCCTTCATTTTCTTCTTGTTTCTAAAATACAGCCAAAATGTGGATTTCTTCCAGATTTAAGATTCATATCTGAAGAAAAAGCCATTAAAAAGAGAATAACTCAAATAAATTGCTTCTGATACTAGGCACTAGCTAGGCCCTTAAGTCTTGCTATGTAACAGGCTAGTCTGCAATGGCATTATTAGATTTCAAGGTTTAACTCATGCATTGTGCTTTGCAGGTAGTATTCCTTGTTAGCCGTGAATCAAATTGCCTTTATTCCGTATGAATATAGTTTTGACTGTAAATCTATGTTTGTAATTGTGAACTTATTGTACAATCTAAGGTATTTATCAAGGTAGTTTATTTGTCAGTGCAAGGTGTTATATGGTAGTTTGTGACCACTAACGGTGTTGTGAATTGTCTGCTCTACTATTCGTCCAATTATGATGGGCATGGATCTTTTTATGGCTTTCAGGTCCACCTAATCATGAAAGCCATTGATTACTTATTTCCTGCCCCCTCGCCAAAAAAATATAATAAAAATAAAAAATAAAAAGAAAATTGATATAGTGTAAGTTCTTTGTGCACCGTTTGGATCTGGCTTTCGAGGCATCCACATTGTATTTTTGAAAATTCAACATAAGGAAAAGTGAATTCCAAATTTTTAGAACAGCGTCGAACTAATGATGCCATTTTTCGTAGTTAATGGTTTATAAATTTATTTCCTTTCATGGTTGCTACACTTAATTTAACTAATAAAGGTTGTCCTTTCATGGTAATGTAGCTAATAGCTTGGATCAAATGAAGGATCAGGATCACGATCTGCTATCCCATCTATTGAGAAACCTTACCAGTACTGATGGCTCAATTAATGGGAGGAACATATCTGGATTATTGCCTTGTTTTCAAGACTTGCAAAATGCAGCGATGTCTCTTGGAACTCCAGAAAAGGTTCCAGATCTGATTTCAAACGGTCCTAAATGCACCTCAATGCTTGGTTCTATTTCTAAGAAGGATGTTTGCATTGACATTCAGGATCCTCTGCGGCCTAATGGACAATGTATGGCATTTGAAGGGACAGAGAAGAGAACTATCACAGACAATACACAGGGTGGACTGTTTCAAACTCCATATGCAATTCCATGTCCTACAAGAGACAACATTCCTGCCAAAGCAAGTGTCCCAGACAATGGAGTGGGAAGGATGAAATTGAATGACATAGACTTGAATACTGTTTACGATGATTCTCAGGATTGTTCAGAAAACCTGGAGAGTTATCATGCTCCTGTAAATCTGGGGATTGGGTCTCTTTATTGCACTCTACGGGGACATCATGACGGTCAGAAGTCAAGCCCTCTTCAGACAAGTAGGAATACAGGCTCCACATCCACCCAGTCACTATCTAGTTTGAGCAGGGAGGCCCAGGCTCAGGTTTCTAATTGAAATTTGAAATTAAACTGTGAAATTACATGTAGCATGGATTGATGAATACAACCATCCATATATCATGAATGTTGCTTCATCATCAATTAAATGTTTCATAATAAACTTTTGCAGTTGTATGGCCATGATGTTGTCTTCGTGGGTTTTGATATTTGATAGAAGTTGTGCTTCTGTTGGTGTTAGAGGTGTTATTTCTTTTTATGTGAGATGTCATGTTAATATATTATGGAAGGTCTGGATGTTGGCACCCATGCGCTTAATGCGGTGCATTTGGGGCCAAAAGAACCACATGACTCTGAAGGATGTAGAGATGGCAATTCGTAGATTAAAACTATTGTTAACTTGTTGTTTCATTTCTGGTTCAAAGAGAAGTTCTGCGAGTCATCCTTTTCTTTGATTGATTTAATATGATAGCTCAGTTTTGCCAAGTGGTTTTTAGTTTGACTTTCTGTGGAGTGCTAGAAATCTAGTGTACTAGGATGGTGGCCTCGTGGTGTCTTTGGTTAATACTTAGCTTAATTTATTTATCCAAAAAAAAAAAAAAAAACTATTTATTTTAAATTCTTTTGATTATATTTTTGAAGTCTATAGTTATGATTTTCTATTAAATCCTTATGTTTTCACATTTTCAGTTAGTGGTTTTGTACTATTAAAAAACTCTTGCCAACTTTTGCATATAGTAATACTCAACAGGGGTGGAGCATACTCCTCTATCAGACAAATTAGGATTATGTAAATTGTTTTTGGCCTTGAGGATTTATTTTCTTATCTCCGTTATTTTTGTTGATTAATTTTCAGGGTTGCACAGATCGAATTGTTTTCAAACTCTTTAGAAAAGATCCAAGTGATTTCCCTATTGTCCTGCGGAAACAGGTATCTCTGTGCTGTGAAGTTACTTGAATATAGTTGTTTAATGTTACTTTAACAAATTTTTATTTTGTTAATTGTTTCAAATTTTTAGATACTTGACTGGTTATCTCACAGTCCTACTGAAATTGAAAGCTACATAAGACCTAGCTGTATCATATTAACTATCTATCTTTGATTAGGGAAATCCACATGGGAGGAGGTAAGCCTATCTGTCATTACTATGAATGAATACTGCTAATCCTTATCCCTGGAAAATCCCTTCTAATGCTTTTAGTGTTGCTGTGTACAGCTTTACTGTGATCTAAGCTCCAGTTTGACCACCAGTCATTGAAATTGCATCAAAGAGAGGTTTTTTTTTTTCTTTTCTTTCCTTACTATTTTCTTTTTGACGCTAAGCTATAATGGGAGGGATTTCACGGTTCATGTGCATTACAAATCAGCATTTGTATTTGGCTTTGGTTGAATGATAGACCATTGTGTTCCATATAATTCCAGCCTGTTTTTATCTAGAATATGATGCAATCAACTATTTATTTTTCACTTTAGTACTGGCTCAATATGTTCGGCTTTTTATTCAGATATCAGATACCACTATTAGAAATATGACTTTTTGAGTGTGTGAGCTTGTCATTATAGTATGATCAAACACAGCTGTGTGGTTGTAATCTTTTCCACTTGCAAAATGAACAGTTTGACCTAGCTTTTGTTTGTGTATGTTCGTGATTGTACTTCTGTAGTGTACTTCGTAGTTATTTTTCAGGTAAGAGTTGCTTGTTTCCTGCCTGTTTCATTCTTAAATTACTTTTCACTATGTGAGGTCAAGTCATTTGGTCGTTGCTGCATCATTGAAATGCAATTTCATCTACTAATAGGTTACTTATGAAACTAAATAGATAAAATAAATTGTTGAAGCTGCCTTTAATTCTTTTGCCCATTCACATTTATATGGTTTCTCACTTACCACGTAGTAGCTTAAGCACATTTATATCTGTGCTTTGTTTGTGTGTGTTATTTTCTGAATTTGGGTTTATTGTCATGGCATGTAGGATAGCATAAAACAAAATATCTACATGGTCATTATTGACAAAAACCTGCTAGTGAGTAGGGCTCCAAAGATACAGCGACTGGTAACTCCACTGACTCTGCAGATGAAGTGAGCTAGGATTGCAGAGAATAAGAAGAGAATTGCAAAGGCCAAGGAAGAGGCAGTCGAATAATACATACTCCTCGCCACTAGGTTGATTTCCGTAATTGATTGCTTATTATACCATTTTCATTAGGTAACAATTTTCTTTTTTGCTCAAACTTCAGATGTGATTACTAAAACATTGTGGAACTTAGGTTTTAGTTGAGACTTAGACTTCTTGCACTGAGTTGAGTTCTAAAATTTTGTCTTTAGAGGTTGACAAAGATTATTTCCATGGAAGTATTGCTTAAATGGATATGAAACTACCTTAATTGATTCTGGTGATAAGAATTTTTTTTTTGAGTTTCTACAAGTAAATTTCTTTTGTATTTTGATTATTATTTTGAACCAGTGTTTGACATGCCTAAGTCATTACTGAAGTTTTAAAGGATAGCTTGGAAAATGTGGCCCAATCTTTTGTTTCCAAGCCTGAAATGCAGAAAGTATGATACTTCTCATCTATTCATGAATTTTTTATTTTTGGGTTATTTGAAAGTCAGAAATTTTTCTTGTTTTAATTACACTTTCTTTTGTAGGTGCTTTGTGCTTTTTCTGTAGAGTGTGATGATTCAGGAGTTCACTTTGTCCAAATTCAAGTCTGAAGTTCAAAGCTCATAAGTACTAACTTTATTGATCTTAGTAGCTTGTGAATTTCTCTCTATCATTTTCATGATTTGCCCAAGCATTATTATTACTAAACCAATACTATGAATTGCTAACAAACACATTCAATGTCACATCACTGCATGTTGGAAAATTTTGTATGGAAGGATTAAGTATAATGATATTTGATTTAACATTCATGCAATAATTCTTGCGAATGTGTGTGTCACTGTAACATGTCATGCTTGCTTGATGTTGATCACCACATATACTGTCAGTTGATGCATAACCACAACAGAGTTGATTGATTCCCATATAGGTTGATAGTTTGGTTTTGGAGTTGCCAAAAGTCAAATGATTCTTTACACTGTCGTAATAGTTAAGGCTTATATCAAGGAAATGGGAAATCTATGCTTTGTAACCATTTTGATGCGATCTTTTCTTGATTTGTTCCAAGTTTAACTGAGTGCATCAACCATGTGCTGCTAGAAAAACTAGATGGCTCATTCCGATGGTGGAATTATTTTAGATACGAAAAACTAGATTGACTTGGTGTTTGAACTTTATATTGACCACTGTGAAATGAAAAATTGCAAGGAACCAGGTGATCATTTATGTTCCTCTCCAAGGACAAGTGAGCTTACCTTATTACTAGTTGAGGACAGAGGACAGAAGCTTTGAGAAGTGCTTTTTTCCCTACTTATTATATTTAAACAATAATTGGCTTTCATTTTGGTTTTATGACTTTAAAATATTTGGCCATGCACTGAAAATTTTTATTTTGGATTTGTTGATTCTATGTATATGTCATATTTATATGGTAATCCAAACATTTTATACTAGTAACAGTCAAAGTGGTTCTTCCTTTTTTGTTGATACAGGAGATGAAGAGTCAGCGTGATAAGAAAAGTTCCAACTTTATCTTTTCTAAGACTAGAATAGTCTCCACAAATAGTAAGTTTATTCATATGCTTCTAGCGGTCTTTGAATTAATTTGTGTTTTCATTTTTTAGGTCATAAATTGCTTGGAGAGGTGCAAAATATAATCAAAGAATTCAAGAAGTTTGTGCTTCAAACTTTTTCATTTTTTAATATATGTAATCACAATTAATTTTTTTTATTAATTCATTTGTATATACTTTTGATCATGCAACTTTTATTTATGAAATATATGACGTTATTCCATTCAATATGTGGTTGTGATTCAAAGGATAATATATAGTATGTATTACATTCTTCAAATGCACGTAGAAAAATAATATTGATTATTCTTCAAACATGTTGAACCTTTTTTTTATCACACGCATTAACTGTGATGTCAAATGTATATAACGTGTGATCTTATCTCATTATTAATCACAGGTTTAATTAGATATTAATCACATTTAAAATCTTTGATCTAAATGTTTATTATCACAAATTTTATTAGTTATTAATCACAATTAAAAGATGTAGTGAGTGTTTGGGAAGTGGGTTTTTATGTAGGTTTTTTTAGTTGTAGGATATTATGGGAGAAATTTTTTTTTGTGTTTGGAAAGATAGTTGGGTTTTTTTGTGGTTGGATGTGATGTTTGTGAGAGAAAAAGTGAAACGATTATGGGGTTGGATGTGATATTTTGTTTGGATGTGTTTTTTTTTTTGTTTTGCAAAAAGTTTGTTTTTTTGTGGAAAAAAAAAAAAATCCAAGTCCTAAACTGCCCAAACACTACTGTAATCTAAATGTTATTAATCACATTTAAAAGATGTGATCTAAATCTTTATTATCACTGATGGAATCATCTTTTAATGACACTCAAAATGTGTGATTAAAAGTGATCCTTTTTAATTACATTTTCAAAGATCACACTTTGACAAAATTGAAAATGTGTGATTAAAAAATATACATCATATATAAAAAGCGTAATCTATTTATGATTTTATAATAGTATCTGTATATTTTCTTCATGAAACTTTGCAAAACAAATAAGCAACAATAATAATATACAAGAAGAGGATTCATATGATGGCCACTAAAAATGCCAATCAAAATTTTCATCCATGTATGTCAGTACTTGTTGGAATTTGGGTTGGATTTGACTCGACTTATTGTCAATGAAGCGTCTACATGGATTGTTGATAATTCACATATTTAATAAATAAGATAATTAAGAGATTTTTTGGAGGTTGTTTGAGTTGTAGAAGACTACAACATCACTCCTATCTATAGAGATTTTCCCTATATATCAGATATTGGGGATACGTATTCTGTGTGTGAGTTTACCCAAAAAATTTTACAAAAAAAAAAATTTCTCTATCTGTTCTTCCATCCAAGGTCAGCATTGTAGAATCTAGGGATTTGGAGTGTGGATAATATATTGAGAAACTCTGATAACTTCTCAATTGACAACAAAGGGTGTTCCAGATGAGGCTCATAATTTAAGCATTCAATCCAAACCATTTCCGCATAATGTAATATGATTACTTGCATTTTTTCCTTGGTTAGTTTCAGAGCCTTGCTTGTTTTTGCCTCATGACTTGCATGCCATAGATTAGATTTATTCATATTTAATTGAATATTATATGTTTAAATATTGTTGAATATCATGGCATGTTTTGAAAACCCTCTTTTTTGGAAAACTCCATTAGAGCAGTTTTTTGATCCCAAAAATCAGTATAATTTTATTTATTTATTTATTTATTTTTTCTGTGACACCCCAAAGAATGTCACGTCCCATAATTATATCATTATCTCATTGGCTAATTTATATCATAGGATACCCTAATTCAATTACCTTACAATGTTCTGTAGATAAAAATATGAATTTTTAGGATAACAATTTAGGCGATGAATATATTAACTGGAAAGCTTAGGAATATCGGTTCTTGATAGAGAGCCTAAGTACCCAAGAAGAATTTGAATATGAGATTATAGTATAGAAAATTTGGGTATATGTTGAAGAGTTGGGGAATTCCTTTTGGACTTGAGAATTGAACACTTATGTGATTTAGAAAAACTTAAGTGAGGAGCTTAATAATCTTAGTCTAATGAGTAGAGCCTAATGAGTACTTAATTAGAAATCAAGCAAGATTAGCAAAAGTGAAGTACGATTAACTAAAGCCTAAGTATGATTAATTAGACTAATGAAGATTAAGAAACATGATTAATTAAAACTAAGCAAGGTTAACTAAGCTAATAAAGAAATTAGTGACCTAATCTAATTACTACTCATCAAACAAAAGAAAGAAGGATGGAGAACAAATGAGAGAAAGCTAGAGAAGAATAAGAACAAGAAGAAAGAAGGAGAAAAGGAAGAAAAAGAGGAGAAATGAACCAAACTCAAGTTTTGAGCTAGGAAAAATCAAGGAAAAATCATTCCTATGTAAGAAACTAAACCCTCTTCCATGTTTTTTTTTATCATAACCTAGCTAGAAATTCATTTGAAATTGGTTTTGAGGAGATTAAAATGAAAGAAAATGGAAAAGTTCAAAAACTAGGAAAAAGGTTGCATGATTTGCATCAATAACATGGTTTGATGTGTTTTTACTTTGAAATCATGGCACACGAGTGCTTTTCTACAAACTTGTACTTGTTTCTTTATGTTTAAGACCTTAAAGCTTTGCTTTTGAAGATTGAAAGAGAGGAGCTAAAGAAAAGTTTGGAAAAATGTTTGAAACTTTAGTTAAATCTTGAATTTCATATGTGTTGATCTCAAATCCATTTTTCATTAGTTTCACACCATGTATTTGCATATTAGGATGTTGTGTAACATGTTTCGGGATTTGGAAGTAAAGAAAAATGAGTTAGGAAGCTCCAAAATAGCCAAGAACAACAAGAATCCGTCCAACCCAGATTTTCTGCATAAGCCTTGGGTTTCCCGCATGTGTGGCCAACTTCTCCAAAAACCAATTTTTGCTATTGAAATAGAAGCACATGCCCTTAGATTTCCCGCATGTGAGGAACCCCTATTTTAGCCCAACTTCAAATGGGCATCTCTCTCTTATCCAGACTCTATTTTAAGCGATTCTTGAGTTTAAATTAAAGCCTTAGAAGTTTAGTTTCCAATGGTGGTAGTCTAACATCTAAATTCTAAGTATACAAAGAGTTATGTCTAAATTAGTGAAGACTGCTCACTTTCTTCCTAATCGTTTCATGCTAATTCCTTTCCCAGCGTAGTTCCTTTCATTTCTTCCTGTCTCCTTAAACCTTAAACATATAAAGATGATATTTTTAAATGCGTAGTACATAAAATTGATGTAGAATACTTAGGACCCTTCAACATATGTTTTCGGCACACTTCGATATTCTTCAGACCTTAATCACCTAGGGTACGTCTAGACATTCATTATGCACTTGATTTAGATATGACCTAGGCTTAGAAAAGTTTTGGATAATCTACGAAAAAATTAAAAAACATTAAGCTAAGTTAGAACACTTGAAATGAATTTAGAAACTTGCTAGTCTATACGTTTTTAATGTCATGCTTATGCTTTCTGTAGGTCAAGCACTCGCATGAGGAAACCTTTGTTCAAGAAGCCATTTGTAAGTAATATTTTAGTATAGTTATGTTTGAAACAGTGTTTTATAAAGTGAAAAATTCTTCATTTATGAAATGTTTATTTTAATTGGAATGAATGAAAGTTCCATATTTCTATGAATCTAGATGTGGCATCCTTTAGTGAGACCCAACCATTGAGGGATATAATTCCACGGCCCTTTGATTATTTGATTTGTAGAGATCTCCCTTTGACAACAATGTGTGGTTGGATAGTTTACTTTATTGGATGTACCATGTTATCATGCTTTGGCTATAAGCCATTCGTATGAAATATTCTAATGCTTTTGGAAATTTGATATAAAATTATGCTTTGCAAATTTGATTGGAATTCATTCATTTACGACTTTACTTTGATATTATTCACTAGGCAATGGCTCGCCTCTCTCCTTTATATATATTTATATATGCAGGTGATGAAGAGCTTGGTTATGATAAAAAATTGATTAAGAGTTGTCTTGATTTCTTGTGATGGTTTCGTATGAGTTTTGTCAAGAGTTTTGTATTTTACTTTTGTTATATAGATCATGTAATGAGGTAAGATAATAATCCAAGAAGAATGTATGCTTTCATTTCATATAATTATGCACTGCTCTGAATGGATATTTCAAATAGACTCAATATAAGTAAGTAATCGCTTCCATTCTTAAAAATTGAAAATTTGCCCCAATTGCTCTAAGAGTCCAACTTGTTTTGCAAGCTAGGCCTTTGGTAGTCAGTGACTACTAGCCAGTCACCTCTATACTATTTGGGGCAGTTCGGGGTCATGACATTTTCTGTGATTGAAATTTATGTATTATGAAAGTACTCTTTGTAAGCTTTCCACTCATATAAAATGGGTTTTAATTGGAGTTATATTGAAAAAGTTATTATTTTCAAAGATTTTTAAGTCAAAATCACCGTTTTTGAGAAATTTTGGAAAAGATGGAGAATATGGGAAGTCAGAGGCTGACATCAACATGACATCAGCAAGAACGCGGAAGTCGACTTAGTGCGGCTAGGACCAGCGCGACTCGACGCTGGGTGGCGGGCCTCAGCACAAGGTATGACGTCACTGCATACAACTGATGTCATCAGTATGCACAGGCACACGCGTGAAGGTTTGCTACGTGGCACGTGTAGACGTGCCTACATGTTCCACATGCGCTGACTAAGGGTGTAATTTTGGCCCGACCCGACCCATTCGGGCTCGGGCCTTGCGGGCTCTTACCAAAAAATCGGGCCAGTCCACGGGCTAGAAAACTAGGCCCAGGTCCTAGCCCAGGCCCAGGGGTATTCGGTCTTTGGGCGGGCCAGAAAACAATTTTTTTAAATTTTTCCTACCAAAATTTTATTATTTTCCATTAAAAAAAAATGGGCATCGAGTGGGCCGGGCTTTTGGGCGGGCCTTGAGCGGGCCAATGGGCTGGGCTGGGCTTCAAAACGATGGCCCAGGCCTAAGGCATCGGGTTGGGCTCGGGCCTTAACGGGCCGGACCCACCTTGGGCCGCGGGCAGGCTTCGAGCCGCCCGCGGGCCACGGGCCAAAATTACACCCCTAGCGCAGACCAACAGCCATAGTGTGTAAAGGTGCATGGCATGTTTCCTCAGGCACGTGTGTTACATATGTGGCGTGTGGGGGATCCTCACTACATGTTCT